GAGGCTCACAGCATCAGCAGTAATCTACCTGATAGCCCATGTGCGACGTCAGTGCTGCGGCAGTATCTTGCTTTAGACATCACGGCCATTTCAATATAAGTGATGCTTGAAATAAAATCTAGTCAACCAAATTTTCTACCCCTGGTGCACGCACATCACACCATCAGATATACCCATTTTAGACAGGACAAATTGTAATACCATACCTATGAGGTCGTGTGAGAACATTTTCCTATACAAACATCGAACACAACACGATACAAACTACATACCGACAACCGTTTGTTCAATTGATTATAGATGTACCCATTTAGCACAAAACAATACATAACACATACCGAACAGCTCGTGTGTAACGACACCACTCTGATCCAACATTTCTTTCAACCGGCCGTACTCCTTCATGCCATTCTTCGTGCCTCCCACAGGATTGACGAATATCAGGTAGTGCCTGCGATCAATCAGTCCTACGTGTTGGTACAGGCACAATAAAGAGGTCAGAATAAACGAAAAGGCGCAAAGTCAAAGTAGGACATACGATAGAATTAGACTTATACAACATTTTCGAGTGTCGGTATGGGCACGGCAATCCCCGTCCTTGGTGTTGGCAGGGGCACATTCAAAAGTTCTAAACAAAATAACAGATGACAAGTGCTGCATACGATCTATTTGGACCTCATGCCGGTATAAGTGCAGCAGTACAAATGACTCTGATTAGTGAACAAATATCGAGTATTGCAGGCAATCGATCAGTCCTACAGGTTTATTAGGGCGTGACAAAACAGAAGGATTTAAGGGATATAACAATATCGCGCAATGCCTGCGAAAGGTAGTCCTGAATGTTGGTACGGGCCTCATAAAACAGAGCGTTCAAGAAAATGTATCAAAATCAGACACTGTCCAAATCGATCTGTTAAACGTTTCGATTCAGGAGGGGTAGAACAAAAGAGAGTGGTGGACAAATATTAAGTGTTGTCGAAAAGAATCAGCAACATGGTGGAACAGACGACATAAATAGATTAGAGTGGTGGAAAATTTTCAAAGTGTTGCCTCAAAACAACCAGTAGCATAGTGAGATAGGCGATATGAACAAAAGAGAGTGGTGGACAAATATTAAGTGTTGCCCCAAAATAGCCTGTAGCATAGTGAGATAGGCGATATGAATAGAAGTGAGTGGTGGACAGATATCAAGTGTTGCCTCACAACAATCAGTAGGATGGTAGGACAGGTAACATAAATAGAAGTATGAGGGTGACGGCGAATTCTCAAGTAATCCTGCGGTTGGTCTGTATGAAGAAGTTGAGTTCTGTTTGTTTGTACAGATATATATACATATGTATCACAACTCGTACACATGTATGTACTACATGAACGCTGCGAGTCGACAACTTATTATGTGATGCCTATATGTACAACTATCAAACGTATCGATTCATAACTTTCCGGGTGAGATGTACATCAAATAAGTAGAACACGTGAACTTGTACCCGTTCCACATCAGATGTCACAATTGGTCTAATACCGCTTGTATTAGAACGCTAGAAAGATTCTTGTATGTGTAATTCCAAACCACTCACCAGAAGGATCAGTACCCGCTACATATGGCAAACAAGTTTTGCAAAAGTCCATGGCCAACTCGGGGGTTTGGCATTGGAGAGTAATGGCAGACGTTTTCCATTTATAGAAATCATCTTTGACATTTCTCACATATCGTATACAAACAAGATTCGAGTCTGAATGCTCCATATTCACCGCGTAGATCTGTTGATGGAATATTTCGAAGGAAAAAGTATACCAGATGGTGCACATGAACGTCGAGCACGTTCAAAAATAGAATAAACTGTGGTTTATCTGTAATTAGCTACCTATAATCCAGTGACAATGGATTTAAATGTGTCTTGTGCGCCAAATTGAACTCTCACGTTGATTGTATGTATATACGCACAAAAATGTAGAAAAATACGGCTGAACGCATATATGTGCACATGTCCATAACGATGCCCAAAATAAGACATACTAAACATACACACGCAGCAAAGATACTCATTTGTACAGTATGCAAATACGTTTTGAACGCACATGTACCAATACATGTACAACGGTGCACAATTCAAAAGGTAAAATGCTTACGAACAGGCAGTCTCACACTCACAATATATATATATATAAATATATATATATATATATATATATAATATAAATATATATATATATATACATATATATATATATATATATATATATATATTTATATATGTATACACACACACACACACATATATAGT